CAGTGCAGGGATCGAACACTGGACCTTGGTGTTATCAGCACCATGCTCTAACCAAGTTAACTGGCCAGCCTCTTTTTTTTTTTTTGCTTTTATTTGTGCATGCTGAGCAATCTGTTTTAAGTTTAATCCATGACTATTCTTGTGGCTACATTGCAAAGGCTTTGTAAGACTTATGTTTCTGATCAGCTCATTGCAACACATCAGGAAGTCAGTGTTGAGATAAATTTTTTCTGACATTAACTCTCACTTCTACCCAGACTAGTTCTCTAACTGCATGTTAAGCATATCCCTACCTTGGAAATAGCTCTTCTGGGGGAAGATTGGATGGTGACAGAAAATTGGTGTCACAGACAGAGTTATCTGGCCTGTTATAATTTGCAATTTAAGGGTTCAATGTATCAGTGCTAATAGTGCCGAGTCTAGTTAAAATAGCATGGATACTTTATCTAAACTATAGATAAGACTGGGCTTGTGGCTTCCTTTGGGAGTGTCATCAGCTGGCACTTTGAGGGCAGCTTGATTAAAAGGATGGCCAGATCTGTGTGGGTAACTTTAATAAACTCAGAATATTCCTGGGCTGTAGAATAGTAACATAGATAAGAAGAGGGAGTCGTAAAAGCTGGCAGCTGAATATCACCTTGAGAGTTGAACGGTAATTAACTTTATTTTTAAGACAAGAAAATGATTTCGTTTGAGAACTGGAAAATGCTAAGGATGTAGGTAGGGAGAAGTAATTATTTTACTGTCTCAAGACAATAGCTAGAGGGTACTGGAAAGTATTAAATTAACAGTCTCCAGTGTAGCCTACAAAGTGATCACATTGAAGAGGTACAAAAATGTAGACACTTGACTCTGGTCCTGTATCATGTCTTGCCTTAACTCATCCAGAAAAGAAAATCACCTTTTCTGGATTGCTGAAGAGTTGTTATCTACAAAGGCAGATATTTCAGAGATTTTCAACAACAGTAAGAATTTTAGGCCTTGGTAATACTACTACTATCTTGTATACTTCAAGTACATTATTTGTGACTTTCCTAAAATTCTACAGAAGAGAAAATTGAGTCTTAGAGAGATTGACTTTCCTAAAGCTGTAAAACAGACCCTACCTGTCCTGATTCTTAAGCCAGTGAGTCATTTCTACTTCACCTTGATGCCTATGGTTATAATATGGGCATCTGTTTCTCCATCAATAATCCATTCCTGAAAGTCAGACATTCTTTGTATGAATACCAGCCAGGATCCTGTTTTCCAATATTTTAAAATGGAAAAAAATTAAAATGTATTACATGCCAATCTAAAACTCCCAGTTTCCTAAATATCAATAAAACACAGCAAAATACCTATATATAAGTAACAGATATATCAGGATGTTAAATGACAAAAACACTTCATGCTGTCCAAAAACTTAATATAGGTGGTAGAAACTGTTGCTTTGTGTGCAGTACTACATGGCACATCCCCTTTGACACTCTGCCTACTCTGTAAAGTGTCCACAAAGAATTTTGATGTTTTGCCAAAAAATGTTAACTCAAGACTTTTCTTGCACATCATTTTGTTTAAAATATTGTACTGAGTTTGGGGTATGTGTGTATTAGCCTTTCCTATATAAGCAACCTTGGGGAAACATACTCTATGAAGTTGGGATATTAAAAACCAAAAGACTTCCACAGGGAAATGTTAACTATAGAGAGATGGTCTGCAGGGTCTGCCTGCAATTAAGTGGCACTAAGCAGAGGAAATGAAAGCTGAAGCCAGTGAAAAATACCTAGTTCTCCATTTCAGATTAATACGTATGTGTAGCTCAGAAAACCAAGGTTCTCTCTGGCAATGTCTTCTTATAGTTCACTGAGGTGTGCTGCTGGCCAAGCCCAGGGGATGCTACAGTAGTCACTGGGAAAACTCACAGTAAACATGAACTACCTACACTTACAAGGGTACTTCAAAAAGTTCATAGAAAGAATGGTATTATCGTTTAATTAATTCTGTTTTTCCATGAACCTTTTGAAGTAGCCTCATATTGAGGGTGTCTCACAGCACTGGACTGAGTGGAGTGCAGAAGATCTTAGTCTGCCGCTGTGTGTGTGTGTGTGAGGGCTGGTTGGAGTTTTGGGTGGTTGCACATTAGCATACATAATAGCATTGTTGTGCACGTATACTAAGATGACTAGATGGCTAGTGAGAGTCTTTACCTTTCCCTCTCTTATGGCCGTGTTTTTCCTAACTCTGAACATCCTGTTATTGGGATCTGTGCTCAGTAAATGAGCTGTGGAGTCTGTCGGACATGACGGGTGGGAAAGGTGAAGAGAAGGCTGGGTTACAATCATAACTTGGAGAGTACGGCAGTGAACTATCCAGTTGAGTGCTCTGGTACGGAAGCAGACTATGTAGTTCCTCTAGTCTAGAGATTCTCAACCTTGTGGGAATATATGGAGGATTTTGTCCGTAGCTGTTACAGTGACTGATTCTACTTATGAATATTTTCTGGTGTTTTCTAGCATAGTTTTGTTTGCACATTTACGTATTGAAATACATATTTTATTATAAATTACTTTCATTTTATTTCTCCTTTATATTGCAGTTAGTACTATGTTTTTTGTTTTTCTTTTTTTTAACTGTGTAGGTATATCACTTCTTTAAATTTCATTTCAGGTAGTAAAAGGAGTCACAACAGTTGTTTAAATATTGTTGGTTCTGGGATTCTCTTTTACTGCTGAAAGCTAATAAATTAGCCAGTTACTGTTTTATAGATATTGGTAGAAGACACAGTATTCTTGGGACAGATACAAAGCCCCTACTATGCTAAGTACTCCAAATGCTTTTTATTTTCTTATAAAACTGTAAAAGGGAGATTTTCTGAAATTTTAGTTAATTCCTATTTTGTAGAGGAAAAAACAGACTTAATCCATTAAGTAACTTGTATAAGGTTTGCCCGGATAGTAAGTGGCAGTACCAGGATTACAACTCATTCTGTGAGCCCCTCCACTTACCCTCCACATACTGTCCTTTTAGAATCCCTGTTTGTTGGGTGGAGAGATGTGTATATATCTTTAGATCAAGATTTTTAATTGTGTGTTCTTCTGTGTTCTTACTAATTTCTAGTTTGTTTCATATGGCAATTTTTGATGGAAGTGTTTAAAAATCTATGATTGTGGATTCTATCCATTTATCTAAATAATTCTGGCTTCTAAATTTACGTATTTTAAATCTATATTTGAAAGCTAATATAGCTATATATAATTATAAAAATATAACTCAAATTACAAATATGTATACAAAATTTTATGTAATTTTCATATTTCAAAGATAATATACAGGGCCGGCCCATGGCTCACTCGGGAGAGTGCGGTGCTGATAACACCAAGGCCCCGGGTTCGGATCCCATATACAGATGGCCGGTTCACTCACTGGCTGAGCGTGGTGCTGACAACACCAAGTCAAGGGTTAAGATCCCCTTACCGGTCATCTTTAAAAAAAAAAAAAAAAAAAAGATAATATACAGATTCAGGAATTTTAATTTTCTTGGTGAATTGTTTTCCTCCTTTATCACTCCATTTCCTTATTTTGCCTTAAGTAATTTTTATGTATTAATATTACCATATGAGCTACATGGGGAGTTAGTGTGTGTCTGGCACATCTTTTTCATACCTTTGCTTTCAGTGCTCCTAATTGATTTTGTTTTAGGTGTGTTTCTTAGGAGAAGCATATAGTTAAAAGTTTTGTTTTTTAAAATTAAATCTGAGTCTGTTTTTAAAAGCTCTTATGCATCTGTAACATATTTTAATTCATGAATGTTACTTTTCCAGAATCCTGTAGTTGAGATAATCCAGAGATTAATCTGTTGAGAAACTGAGTTTTGCTTTGTATTTTGAGTGTATTTTAAGTCCAAAATTTAACACAAACTTCTCAGAGCCAATGTTGTGCTGATGGAGTGAGCTATTTGTGCATTTTAAGCTTAAACTCTGTCATTAGTGCTAGCCCCTTATCAGCTTTGTATCTCTAGAGCAAATGTAAGACTGTTTTAGAAAGGCATTGTAGCTTTTTGATTATTTGAATATATTCCTAAATTTAGAATAACAAGGGCTAAGCTGTAGAGTTAAATTTAAAGCATAAGAAGTTAAGAGGTTTTACTTTAAGGAGAAGTTGTAAAAAATACAGATTTGGAATCCCAAATTCCAGAACAGCATAACCCAATATGTTGTTTATTAAACTTTCTAGGGAAATAAGCAAATCACTCTGAATATTCCCTTTTTTGCTCTTTATCTTATGGAGGAATAAATTGCTTGGGTGACTTGAAGATCTGAGTCGGTATTTATTATTTGAATACAGAATAAAATTTTTTGCCATAAAGAGTGTGACCATTTTATTTTTTAAGTTATTAGGACAGAATTCTTGTCATTTTTTTTTTTTTTTAATCTCAATGGCAAAGTAGAGCCATAAAGAAAAAAAAGTTAGGAATAACATCTACATTCAAGATAAAAGATGATGAGCAGCTGACTATAAAGATTCATTGAAGGCTAAAGATCTACCAAAAATTGAGGTACCACAAAGGGAAGAATTCAAGAATGTGCAGGGAATTTTTCTATAATAGGATGAATAAATGTGACAAACTTACCCGGCAAGCCTACTGAGAACAAGCTTATCTGTATAGGGCTTTACACATGCAATAAGTTCTATATTTTCTTAAATCGATTTTTAAGAGTTATAATTAATAAAAGCCTCTTTCAGCTATAAACTAAAAAATGGTTCAAGTAGGAAGGTAGTTAAGCTGCTGGACCTGGTATGTTTTAACCTTCTTTTTCAGTCTAAGTTTTCCTTACCAGCTCATTATTTGCTATGTTTTTTCCATCTAAGAAAAGCCCACCTTTTGCCTGTAGATAACACTAGAAATACCACTGGAGATTTCAGAGATAGTACGCATCCCCAGAGTAAAGCTGGGCAGTATGTATTCTCAGGATGCCCCTCACTACCCTGTTATCAATGCTGGCTTTTATTCTGTGCAGTGTGGCTTCCTGTTGTGGTGCATGGCCCCGAGCCCTTCTAATGGGGCTGAACTCCTCTATAAGCGCATCATCCGTCCTTTCTTCCTGAAGCATGAGTCCCAGGTAGACAGTGTGGTGAAGGACCTGAAAGACAAAGCCAAAGAAACTGCAGATACCATCACTAAAGAAGGTAAGATGCAGGGGCAGCTTGATTCACCATGTGAAGGAGATGGGATACACTGGCTTAAATACCAGGCTTCCTGGCCTTGTCTTATCAGCTTTCCTCTGCCAAATGCCAAGGCTACTCTGGAATTTTCTGTACAAAGGCTTTGCCTGTTACCCTTTACTTTTCCCAAGATTCTTTCTCAATGCCACCTTTAATGCAGCATTCAGTCAGCATATTAGGAAAAAAATGACTTCCCTGTGGTAGGCAGAGATTTTAGAGAATTATCTCTATATACAAGTATAATCTCTTTACTTCAGAGTTCAGGTTGACCAGTTTAATATGCTGTTCAAATTGTTTCTGTTACAGGTCCAAAAGAATGCCCTCTCTCTCAGCTCCCCTAATTCATTCATTTAACAAATTTTATTTATTGAGGTGTTTAATATGTGCCAGTGGACTAAAGAGACCACACTTCTTGAACTCATGAAGCTTACAGTCTAGTTGGAGATAGACAATAAAATTTTAAATTGATATATTTAGCAGATGACATAGAGAAAAATAAAGCAGGTAGAAAGATAGGGAGTGCCAGGGACTGGAGGGATGGTTACAATTAAAATAGAGAAAGTTAGGAAGTCTTCACCAAGAACGCTGTACTGAATCAGACTTGAAAGTAGTAAAGGAACCATGGGGAAGAATGCTCCAAAAGGAGCTGCAGGTGCAAAAGCACTGAGGTGGGAGTAATACAGGAAGTGATCAAGAGAGATAGCAGGAGGAGACAAGGTCAGAGAAGTTGGGGTGGAGGCTGGAAGACAGATCACATAATGCCTTATAGGCCATTGTGAAGGCTTTGGCTTTTCTCTGTGTGAGATGAAGTGCTGCTATTGGAGAATTTTGAGCAGAGGAGCAACATGATCTGTCCTGTATTTTGACAAGATGGCTACATTCCCTGTATTAAGAATAGACTGGGGCCGGCCCGGTGGCGCACTGCTACAGTGCGCAGCTTGGGAGCATGGCGGCGCTCCTGCCGAGGGTTCAGATCCCACATACAGACCGGTTCCCGCTCACTGGCTGAGCGAGGTGCGGGTGCAACACTGAGGGTTGCGATCCCATTGCTGGTCCCGGTCCGGTACGGGCACGACACTGAGGGTTGCGATCTGTTTCCAGACATGAAAAAAGAAAAAAGAAAAAAAAAAAAAAGAATAGACTGAAGGCGGACAAGAGAGGAAATTGGGAGACCAGTTAAAAGGTTACTGCAGTGATCTGGCTGGAGGTGATGATGGTGGCTTGGTTTGCAGTAGTAGCAGTAGGGATTAAGTAGTATTGGATTCCTGATGTATTTCAAAGGTAGACTCAGTAGGATTTCCTTGTGGTTCAGGCATGGAGTCTGAGAGGAGATTCAAGGATGAGATCAAGCTTTTTAGCTTGAACAAATGGAAGGACAGAAGTGCCACTGTGTTGGGAAAAACTGGATAGAACAGGTTGGTGGTGGGGGTGGTGGGTCAGGATATGGAATTCAATTTTGGACATAAGTTTGAGGTGCATATTAGATACCTACAAGGAGTAGTCAGCCAGCCAGTTGGATACAAACATCAAGAGTTCAGGAAACAGGTCTGGACTGCAGATATAAATTTGGGGGTCATCAGCTTATAAACAGTATATTAAGCATGACACTAGTGAGATCACCAAGGGAGTGAAGTGTAGTTAGGAAAAAGGAGGTGTGATGACTGAGTCCTTGGGCCTCTAATGTTTAGAGACCAGGGAGATGAGAAACAACCAGCAAAGTAGACTGATCAGGAGTGGCCAATTGAGGTAGCAAGAAAACCATGTGGATGTGGGCCCTTTCATGAAAGTGTGTGAAAGAGGAGGAAGTGATCCGTTGTGTCACATGGTGTAGACAGGTCAAGTAAGATAAGGACTGAGAATTGACCATTGGATTTAGCAATAGCAAGGCACTAGTGATCTTGACAAAACAGATTTTGTGGAGTGGTGGGATAGAACTCCTGACTGGAGTGGATTTGAGAGAATGGGAGAAAAGGCATGAAAGAATATAGACAACTCTTTTGAGAAATTTCCTGCAAAGGGGAGCAGAAGAATGAGGCTATAACTGGAAGAAGGAACTAGGGTACTGAGAATTTTAAAACTTTTTCTTAAGGTAGGAGAAACAAAGCATGTTTGAACATTAATGGGAATGATCCAAGTGAACAAAAAATAAGAGTGAGAGGGTGATTTGCTGGAGCTTTGTCCTTGAGTAGGCCAGAGATAGTATCTAGTGTACAAATAGAGAGATTGCTCAGAGGAGCCGGAAGAGTTTATGATAACATGAGAGAAATCAAGGTTTATGTGTAGAGATGCTATTAGTTGAGTATATGCAACTGTGGAAACTTAGAGAAGTAATTGTCTGATTGTTCCAGATATCTCAGTAAAGTAGGAAGAAAGAAGGCCAACAGAGAGGATGGGGAAGATGATGGAAAGAGCAGAAAGTATGGGATAGTTATCTAAGACAGGGAATGGCAAACTTTTTCTGTAAAGTGACAGATGATAAATATTTTAGATTTTGTGGGCCATCAGGGTTGTGTATCAATCAGCTACTCAACTCTGTCATTGTAGAGCAAAGCAGCCACAGACAGTATGTAAATGAGCATGGCCATACTTTGCTGACACCTCTAGGAAAGTGGGAGAGTTAATGGACTGGGACAGTGTCATGTGATTGCCAGACACCATTAAAGGTGCACTTGAAATCTGTGTTCATGAATTTAAAGTGAGACCAGTTCATGTTTGTTTTTCTCCAGCCACATTCACATGGGTACAGCTGCAGAGTAGGTCGAGAGTTGTATTAAGGTTGTGATTTTGAGAACTATGAAGTGAGAGCAGAACTATGGAGTAGTTACTCTTTGACCATGGAGTTTAAGCTGGGTAAGGAGGGAAGTGGTGGGGGAAGGACTCCGACTCAGTATAACAGAGGGAGTGAGCTACAAAGATAAAAGGTGATGGTGGGAGAGTGGGATGCCTCACACAAGGTTATGGAGGGACTGCAGTTATTCGTAGTGACACAGGTGTTGAGTGCCGTAGGTAGGATGGAACATAAAGGTTATTGGAGAGGAGGAACTAAGCGGTCAGGTTATCAGGAGGATCATGTATATCTACATGGATATTAAAATTACCAGTAATTAAAATAGGAATAGTGTTGGAAAGGAATATTAAATTAGAAGCTAAACTTCAAGAAATGAGGCAGAATAGCCCGAGTCAGAGATGACTGAGATATAATTGGTGATATAATCTGATGACATGAGATTCTGAAAGTGGCAATGAAAACAAAGACAACACTTACCACATCTCCAGTCCCAATGGTACTTGGGTCATGGGAGAAAAATACCAGCTATCACTTGAGAAAGCAGGGTCCTTAAGGGACAGATTTCTCTAAGAAATAAGGTAAAGGAAACATTTGGAGGAATGGGTGAGGATAGAGGTTTTGCTGATGATGGGTCTTGAGTTCCAGAGGGACTCAAGAATTTTAGGAATTGGAGAAAGGTAGGCAACAGACACGGAAGAAGGGAATTCTTTTAGAGTTCTGTGGTAGTTACAATGTGGAGATAAGAGGTGGCCTGACCACTGGGGAAGTAAAATCCCTCCGAGATAGCTCTCCGACAGCATGATGCCTTAGAGGTGATGCATTCCCTCATTTCTCCCTCACAGACCTCTCTCCTTTGGACTCTTTGGGCATACAATTCTAGTGTACTTCAATATGTTTTTCTACAACTTTAAGTGTTTTCTACCTTGTGGTCCTCCCATTTCTTTTTAAGAGCTTGCTTTTCTGTTCTCTGCCCTAGCCTAGCCACAACCTCTGGTGATGTCATTTCGGTTCACCCACATTTATTAGCTTCTTGGTCCTTTTAGATATCAATACTCTAAAGAGCAATTTTACTTTGATGTGATAACATTCCTAAACAGGGGTGTTAGAATTAAAATAAGTTAGGAGGAACTTACATGCTGACACATTTTAGACTTTTCTCAAAGCTTCTGGATTCTCTAGGAATTTTTACAAAGGGCTAGTTAAGAGAGAGGCTGTGATTTCTTCTTTGTTAACTTTGTTCAACAATTTAAATTGAATTTAGAGAGAGCAGCTGTTGGGCAGCTGGTGGACAAGGGACTACAGGCTCCATCAAAAACAGCTGCAGTTTGTAGAATCTCACAGGATGCTCTAAAGGCTTCCAGACAACCCTTTCCCCCCTTCCATCTCACATATCACTCTGGTTCTTATAGCACAGTGCAAGCCACTTGGTAATTAGAAAAGGGAATATCTTGGGCCGGCCCCATGGCACACTCGGGAGGGTGCAGCGCTGGGAGCACAGCGGCACTCCTGCCACGGGTTCGGATCCTATATGGGAATGGCCGGTGCACTCACTGGCTGAGTGCGGTGCGGGCGACACCACACCAAGGGTTGCGATCCCCTTACCCGTCACGAAAAAGACCAAAAAAAAAAAGAAAAGGGAATATATCTTCTTGATGAACGTAGTATCTTGACACTAACTTGAAGACTTGCAGCAAACTCTTCCTATCATAGAAGGGAATGTGAGAGTTCAAATACAGTGAGAGTATAAGTATTTCTAGTGCTGGGAATGAGGACTTCATGATTTTGTCAGCATGGGATATGATAACCTAGTTGTCATCAGATTGGTATGCAGTGAAACCTTACAAACATCCAGATACAAACGAGAATTTGATTGTACAAAGGAACACTATTCCTAATGAATCTCTATTGCTTTTGATGCTTAAAGGAGGACAGAGTGCAGATAGTTTAGGTGATACTGTCACACCAAGAGGCTAGGCTTAGGTGACTTTCAAAAATTTTGCTCAAGTATTCGGGATTTTTGCTCTGAAAAGGTACCTTGTCTGTTTCCTGGAAACTCTCAGCCCTGACTACAAACCTCAGTATGCTGTTATCTGAACGTGAGTCATCAAGGTTTTGTTATCTAATTGCTACATTAGGCACAGAGCTTGTATTACAAAGAGCTTTGATATAATTTTCTTTCCCTCCTAACAGCCAAGAAAGCTACCGTGAATTTACTGGGTGAAGAAAAGAAGAGCACCTAAATCATTGACTGGATGAAACCTTTCTGCCCTCTCTGTACCTTCGTATTAGAGCTTGATGTTATATTAGGGACTGTGGTATCATCTTAATGTTGCCTTGAAAACATTTTTGATATATTAAAAAATGGAATGTGTTGTAAGTTTTTTTGCTTACTTTTGCTGTCTGTATACATAGAGGGAGCATTTTAATTTAAACTTAATGCAGTGGGTACTGTCCAAAATTTTGGAAAATATATTTTGCCTCTGGGTAGGAAATATTATGTTACTATCCTGTGGGAAATGTAAACTTAAAATTATATATCCCACAAGCTCTGTACTTCACTGGCTCACTTTGCATGCACTTTCTCTGTACTTAAATTTAGGATAACCTTTGTGGTTCTACTTCATGTAATGTACAATTTTATATAATTCTTAAATGTTTTTAATGTATTTGTGCATCTATATAGGGAAAGGTTACTGTCTGACTATAACATGCATAATGCTCACAGGGAAGGGGGCAGGAAAAAGCTGTATATGCCATTTATAACCACCTACCAAAATCTGGAAGGTACCATTGTGCTACTGTGATGTACTAAATAATCCTTAAGAAAATACAAATGGTAATATTCAAATGAACAAAGTGAGAAGTGAGGTTGAATGGAGGTTGGCCTGGTTGTTTTCCTAATATCATAGCACCTGAATACCAGGAGAGCTTTGTAAAGCAGTTAGTGACTCTAGTGATAAATGGCAAAATTTACACACATCAGTAACCTATACCTGTCAGTTCTCTGTAGAACTAGGAACTGTGTCTTATCTGCTTATAAGCTTTAGATTTGCCCATTTTTAAGATGTTAAAATAGAAACCATTCCTGGTTTTTCCTTCAAAGCTGAGTAACACGTTCGTTTAGTCTTGTTTCTTTCCCGGTCTTTTTAAAGCCAGTTTGAGGAAGCTCCAAAGACTTCCCACCTCTGATTACATACATGTTCTTGTTTGTATCATTAGCAACAACATGCTAATGATGACACCAAGCTCAAAGGCAATTCTGGGAGAATGAAAGCAAGTGTGATATAACCTGTAATCTGATTTGCAGTGGTTAAGTCAAACTGCCTTCACCTTTTTTCCTCTGTACTTTAAGGTCAAACACAAAAGTCCTCCCTCATTTACAAGTCAGAATCATTTGTAGTCTACTTAAATGCCTGCACCTTTATCCTTTGTTTTGATAAACTGCATATGACTACATGGTCTAAGAACAGACAAAAAAGTAAAAATGCCTCCACCCTGATCAACCAATAGCTAATTGAGATCTTGACAACTTGATTGGACTAGAAAATCTGAGCTTTACCTCATACTGTTAGGATCCTTTTGATTTATATTAAACTGGACTAAAACAAGTACATACAAAACTAACAACGTTAAATATCCAGCCAGTAAAATATTTTTAAGGCAAATAAAGATGATTAGTTGTCTTTTAGATAACAATCAGGCAAGATCACAATGATGTATCATGATGTAAAAAAAATAGTAAAAATTTCAAAAATAAGGGACAGTGTCACCCAAATATTATAATAATATGGATCAGAGCAAATAGTGTTTCTGGGAAAAGTGACTATTAGGTATCTTACTAGTTAAACTTAAAAAAAGAAAACTGGAAAGCAAACTATTATTAATCAGAGAAAAATCAAGCCTTAGCTTAAAAAAAAAAAGGTATCTCTAGGAGTATTTAAATCCTTTTCCCATAATATATATATAAATGACACTTTTCTTGGTGACTGACAGAATGAACGTTAGCAACTTTTAGCATATAGGATATCTAATCAGATAGTATACAGAATATATTATCCAACAAGATGGGGAGGCATGAGTTACTATTGCTCATAATAACTTAGAAGCTAATATCAGTTTAAAAACTACCATAGTAAAATGTATTCTTTTTTTTTTTACTTCCTTTTTGTCCTTTTTTTGTGACCGGCAACGGATCACAACCCTCGGTGTCGTGCCCGTACCGGACTGGGACCGGCAACGGGATCGCAACCCTCGGTGTTGCCCCCGCACCTCGCTCAGCCAGTGAGCGGCCGGTCTGTATGTGGGATCCGAACCCTCGGCGGGAGCGCCGCCGCGCTCCCAAGCGGCGCACTGTAGCAGTGCGCCACCGGGCCGGCCCCGTAAAATATATTCTGAATGCAAATTTTTTTATCCTCTTGATACCATAGCTTTCTCCTACAAGTGCATTCTGCAAGAAATTTAAGTTACTGTTTTGGGCTGGCAAAGTGTACATGTTATCAGCAGAAGTTAGACTTCAGTCTTTTTGTCTCAGTTTAGATTTTCCAAATAAAATACTGCCATGGCTAGAATATTTGAAATATTTGAGGCTGTGCCTCGCTAGAAGGCAAGTATTATTTTTATGTGAATGACATTTTAAGGGTATGTAAAGTTACAGAATTCCTACTACACATGTTAAAGTCTTCAAAATTAAGCTTTCCTTACATGAAAACTTCAATCATTCAGATCAACAAAGTTACTACTGCTCTGGGGAGGTCTTCTACCCACAGCCTGAAGAGAATGAGCATGGCCTTTAAATAAGTTATCACCTATCCTGAAGATGTGATATATTGAATGGAAATGGATGTAAATAAAATTTGGTTCTCATTTAACTGTTACATTTCATTTTATATTGTGGGGCTTTTTTTCCCTAACCCAGAACTATTTAAACACAATTTTTAGTAAACACATAAAAACGAACCTAAAACACTTTATTACATCCCATTCTTCACGTGGCTTGTAGTTTTCCCTTGGTAGTTACTGTGTGCCAGAGGAAAAGACATTCCCTAAATATAGCAACCAAAAAAAGTTTCTACCAAGTAGTATCAGATTTAAAGGAAACCAAAGGCACTGCTTTTTACGTACATATTACATTATTCTAGAATCATGGTATTTAGAATAACACAGGTACAATTTAGATCCTTAGCCATCAAATATTATAGTTCTATATAGTGTGGCAGGAAAGTAAATATATTTGAGAATGATATTAAAAGTTTTTCTGGCTCTTAGTTTTTCTACACTTAGTACACAGGTTTTCAGACTTGGCTGCATACAGAATCACTAGAGGACCTTTCCAAAAATACTGATAATCTACCTCCACAAATGAATTTTGATTTGTTTACCATGGTACTCAGGTGCCAGTATACTTTAGAAACTCTTCAGGTGATTCTGATGTAGCCACGGCTGAGAACCACTGTTAGAGACCAGTAATGATGCCAGGAATCCCAAGGTCTGGAGAATTTGTCTTAGCTACCTAGTTCATCTGGTGTCAGCTTCCTATTGCTGCTGTAACAAATTACCATAAATATATTCCTACAGTTCTGAAGGTCGAACATACAAAATGGGTTGCTGGAGGAGGATGCATTTCCTTGCATTTTCCACTTCTAGAAGCTGCCTGCATTCCTTGACTTGTGGCCTCACTACTCTGACCTCTGCTTCTTTCATCACAGCTCCTGACTCTGACTTGCCTTCCTCTTATAAGGCCCCTCATGATTACACTGGGCCCATCTGGATAATGCCTTCAACTCAAAATTACTAATCACATCTGCAAAGCCCTTTTGCCCTGTAAGGTAACATTCATAGGTTCTGGGGATTAGGATGTGGACATCTGTTTGTGGGGGGGATTATTCTGCCTACTACACCTGGTCTCTCTTTGGGTACACAGAGTTGTCAGAAAATAACTGCAAAGAGCAATCTTAATATTGGAAGGGAGCTAAAGGGGGACTGGAGAAAACACTACCCTATCCAGGTAAAAGACTGAGTTTATCCTCTGGAGACAGTAAGAGGATCTCTAGAATGGGAGACACAGAGTCAAGAGAGGGATATTGTATTAAAAACAAGACTGAGTGACTAAATGCTGAGACTGACTTCACCCACCTAGCCTTCTCCCACTAGGCTCCCAGAACGCTGACAAGCAGACTTTTATCCCCCTACAATACTGTTAAGACTCCTCCTGGGGAAGGTAATCACCTCTGATGTTGGAAATTCTCCCAAAGGTGTCCCAGCCATATATCTCTTTAGTGAAGCTCATTGGCTACAAACCCCTTCTTATGTGCTCAGAACTTCCAATCAGCTTTTTGGTCTTTCACTCTTAGAAAACCAACCACTTAACATGACAGAAATAAAAATAGAAGAAAATGAAATTGGAAACAAGTCTATAAATCATACCTTCTGAGAAGAAATTACATACATGAAATAAGAAGATACTGGGAAAAGGAAACATGCAGATGACAAGACAGCTTAGAGAAGCTGAAAAAATAAATGAAAAATTCAATAGAAAGGTTGGAAGGTAAAGCTGAGGAAATCTAGGAAGTAGAATATAAAGGCAAAGAAATGGAAATAATAAGAAGAAAAGATTAGAAAAGTGAGGACTAGTCCAGCAGGACTAATAAATAAGGAGCTCCAAGAAAGGTCAGAAAGGGAAGAAAAATCATCAAAGAAATTTTCAAGAAAATTTCCCAGAACTAAAGAACACAAGTTTCTAGATTGAAAGCCCACTAAGTACCCAGTACAATGGGCAAAAAAAGATTCACAGAAAGCACACTATTGTGGTATTTCAGAATATTGAGAACCAGATGTGAGTTTCAATAAAAAAAATGTGAGTCACAAAAGATTATGAACTAGAATGGCTTGAACTTCCCTTCAGCTGCAACATATGTCAGAAGACCATGAAGCAGTTCCCTTGAACTTCTAAAATAAGTTGACTTCCAATTCTATGTGCAAACAGGGTAAGGGCAGAATGACATTTTCAGATGTACAAGCTCTGAGAACATGTACTTCCCTCACATTTTTTTCAGGAAGATCCTGAAGATGAGCTACACAAAACAAAGGAGTAACACAAGAAAGAGGAATACATGGGATACAGTAATACAGGATCTCCAAAACAGCAAGGCAGTGACATGAGTCACACTCCAGACAATGGTGGAGAAAGAATCCAGACTGAAGCTGTGCACTGGGCCTAAAGAGTAAGAGATTAAAGTCAGGCAAAAGTCTCCAGAAAAGACTTCTTAAAAAAGGTGAAATAAACAAACTACCTGATGTAAACAAACTTTCTTAAAGGATATGTTAACAACTGATAATTTGTAGTTGAATTTGTGATTATATATTTGGAAAACTAAGCAAATGAAAGAACAGAATAATTAGTTCCACAGAAAACAAGAAATCCAGAAAACTAAAATAACCACAGCATACTTCAGTGTTCCTCAAACTTTAATGTGCATAAGTATCACCTGCAGATCTTTTTAAATGCATTTAAATTTTGGGCTGTGATACTAATGCAGAGATACTGCATTTTTCACAAGCTCACAGGGGAGCTGCGGGTCCCTAGATCACACTTTTGAGTAGCTATGAATGCAATGTATGATAATAGTGTAAACTCTGAACAGTAATTAAAATTATGAAGGATATTGGTAGGATGGGAAGACTGGAAGCATGCAAGCGTACAGTGGGGCAGAAGGGAGGAAGGAAAACTAAATCCTCTTCTACAGATGGAAGTTAATGCCTAAAGCTGAAACAAACTCTTATTAAAACTAACTGGCTCTTTAAATTATATACAAGTATAATTTTGGTAACAACAAAGTCCTTAAGAGTGGACAAAGGATGTGAACATGGTTCACTGAAGTGAATATAGTCTTTCAACATATAAATAAATGCTCAAATTTGCTTACTAGAAAAGATCCTATTTTTCACTCACTGATTAGCAAAAGCTCAATTTTGCAATGATTTCAACAATGTGAAGAAACAGCAATACCAAGCCTCAGGAACAACAGCAATCAGGATAGCTCAAAATCACCATTTTCAGAAACTGTGCTTTAAAGTAATAAATTCATATGCACCAATCCAATTTAGTTTTTTGAAAGAAAGTGTACCTTGTGGTGCTAAAGCATAGGTAATTTTTTTTTTTTTTTTTTTGGTGGCTGGCCTTCTGAGAAACTGAACCCTTGACCTTGGTGTTATAAGGCCATGCTCTAACCAACTGAGCTAAATGGCCAGCCTGACATAGGTAGGTAATTTTAGAACTCCAATGAAAATAATGGTCTTAAACCTACAAAGCAAACAAATTTAAAGCTTAAAATCCAGGACTTTCCATATGTCAAAAAACTAGCAATTGAGCAATTTGATAACAGATTAAAAGACTATGATCTACAGACTGGCTGTTCATAGATGCCACAGAGGACTTACCAATTTCTTCTAGTTTTAGGCTCACACTGTCCAATCTTCCACTACCTATTTCATTCTCTGTAATTAGCTCCTCTACTGTCATTAATTAGTTCAAAAGTAAAAGCTATAAGTCAGTTTCAAATTTTATTTCATTAACTTAAAAGGTGAGCAAAATGTGTATTTCAAATCTTCTTAAACTTACTTAACTGAAACATTTGTTTACACAGAGGACAAACAGATATAGGATTTCAAGCAATTTATGGTACACTACACTGTCCATTTAAAAATATTTTTTTTCCACAAAAACTGTATTGAAAGACAAAAAAATTCTTTCCTTAATACTGCATAAAAGCTATGTGCAAACTTCTGATGTAAATTTATTTCATTGTCAACTCCAGTGATGAAGATGAGAGGCACAAATGTTCATAGTTCAGTTACATGATGCAAACAAAAAGCTTCTGTTTCCCTCAGATACAAATTAGAAGCCTCTATTTATACCACACACTTGATGCTCATACCAGGTCACTTCTTCTTCTTTCCTTTCCCTTTTTTACTTCCCTCTCCTTGCTGAAGACTTGGGTCACCAACTCCAGGTTTTTGTGTCCTTGTTTTGAGTTTAGGTATCATTTCTGCTGCATACAACATGACTGACTTACCTAGGAACCAGAAGTTAGGCTTAGTGTATAATCTGAGAAATAAGACATAAAAGGTCATTAACTTGACTATCATAAAGTCCAAGAAACTATTAAATCAGGAAAATGGAATTTTTTAAAAAAAATCAAATAAATGAAGACAGTGAGTTGCTCAAGAGCAGGAGAGCACGTACTGAGAGAACAATGCTGAAAATATTTAAATTAACAAAATCAAAATGTAAAACACTAAGTTTGAAACAAAAATTCTGGTCTTGATCCTTGTAATTGTCTTAAAGATCAAAGGAGAATATACCTAAATATAACAAGTTGGCGGGGAAAGGAATGACAACTTCTAACAGAATCTTAAGTTTCTAGCAATACCTATGAATCCTGACAGATTCGGGTATATAAAAACCAATCCATTTTAATTTGACTAAAAACAATTAAGTTGGCAGTTGGTATGACATTTTAATTGCTTTTAGTTGAATTAAATGGAAGTTTAATTAAACCAAAGGAAAAAAATTAAGAGCTCCATTTTTTTTTTTTTTTTTAAAAGATGACCGGTAAGGGGATCTTAACCCTTGACTTGGTGTTGTCAGCACCACGCTCAGCCAGTGAGCGAACCGGCCATCCCTATATGGGATCCGAACCCGGGGCCTTGGTGTTATCAGCACCGCACTCTCCCGAGTGAGCCACAGGCCGGCCCAAGAGCTCCATTTTTAAAAAATTAAAATATATTTTTTAGAAACAAAGAGTTCACAAAACTAAATGTACACAAACTCTTATCTTCCCAATACTCAGAACTAACATTTTGTTATACTGATGTCTAGTTTTGTTTATTTTTCACTAATATATTTCAGGGCCAAGCCCACGGCGCACTCGGGAGAGTGCGGCGCTGGGAGCGCAGCAGCGCTCCCACCGCGGGTTCGGATCCTATATAGGGATGGCCAGTGCGCTCACTGGCTGAGCTCGGTGCAGCCGGTCTCAAAAAGGATAAAAAAAAAAAAAATATATATATATATATGTATATATATATATATACATATATATATATATTACAGATGATGTTATACTCTTTCCTGAACATCAGCCCCCTTATCACCACTCCCCGCTCCCTGCTCACCATTAGGACTTAAGAGTGAGTGTTTTTTCCTTCCAATCCATTTCAAAAGCATTCACATCAATAAACATTACATATACATCTATCAATAAGCAGTAATATTTCTTATTTAAATTTACCAAAGTGGTCCATACTATGCATGCATATCTCTTGCTTTCTTCACTCAATATTGCTTTTAGGTTTATTAATGACAGAAATTATTATTAACAGACCTCAAGGTCTCTAGGATCTGAAATGGCAATTAATATCCAACCACTTAATAATTTTATACTCAAACTGGGAGCACTGATATACTTCCAGAAGTTTATAAAATGTTCACAAGACTATTTTTGAAAAATGATTAGTAGGTTTCATCACATTCTCAAAAAAGAGCTTAACCTAAAAGAAGTTAGAACCACTGTTTACCTGTCTGCATCAGCAGAAGTCCTTTCTCTGAATTAATATGTAGAATGCAAATTCTTTTTTTTTTTTCCTTTTTGTCTTTTTTCGTGACCGGCAATGGATCGCAACCCTCAGTGTCGCGCCCATACCGGACCAGGACCGGCAACGGGATCGCAACCCTCGGTGTCGCTCCCACACCTCGCTCAGCCGGTGAGCGGCCGGTCTGTATGTGGGATCCGAACCCTCGGCGGGAGCGCTGCCGCGCTTCCCAGCCACCGGGCTGGCCCAGAATGCAAATTCTGATCTTTACCTTTCAAAAGATCAGTTTTAGAACCTTTTTTGTGTTATGGAGGAATATCCCATGAATTCATTAAAAAAAGCTTACGTGATGGGAATTGTACAAGACAAAGGCTGCCATCTTCCTGTTTGAGCTGGACCCGGACTCTGCCTCTGTACTGAACATCACGATTCCATTCTCTAGAGTACATTTTATTTTTCTAATATTAGGGGAAAAAAAAAATAGTTTTAAGAAAGTTATTACATAAATGAGATGAGTATGGAAGACCGTGAAGAAAGAACTACATCGTACCTCCAGAAATACATTAAGTCCAACCGCTGCACATACATCTTGAATCTCTGTAGCTGTAGGATTTTCAACAGCCTGAACAGTTAAAAACAAAAACAATAAACAGCTTAGCTTTAAGTGGATACTGCTGTAGTGTTGTGTAAACCATTTCAAATACTATGATCAAAGCACGTACCAAAACCCTAGGTTTCTTTACTAGGTACAGTTGTTCCAATTATAATTTTAAGAATTCCTGGGAATAACACTGATGCATAACTGTGCGTCTGCCTCCCTTCCAACAGATCATAATCTTCATGAGGGCAACCACTTTCTTTTGTTCACCAGCATATTACCCAGCACCTCGCATGGTATTTTGTTTTTGGCAGCCAACTGGTAAGGGGACCCAAATCCTTGACCTTGATTTATAACACCACACTTTAACCAACTGAGCTAGTCAGCTAGCCGCTACTGCATGGTACTCTGAATATAGTAGGTGCTCAGTGAATACTGACTGGTTACACAATTACACGTACAACCACTTTCACACAAAGCAATACGACTGAGCAGTGTTTTCAGCAGGAGAATTTTACCTCCCACCCCCTTCCCAGGGACATTTGGTAATACATGGAGAGGTTTTTGATTGTCACAACTTGGGGAGAAGGGGTAAGAAGGGGATGACCTGTGATCTAGTGGGTAGAAGCCAGGGATAATGCTAAACATTTTAAAAAGCACAGGACAGCTCCCTACCACAAAGAACTGTCTGGCTCAAAATGTCAATGGTGCTGCTGTTGAGAAACCCTGCTACAGAGCAATAAAATTAAACTACACTAAAAATGTGGATAAATCTCATAATCTTAAACTTCTGGGGGAAAAAAGACACCAAAGTACATTAGTGTATAATTCCATTTATATAAAATTCAAAAACAAGCAAAAGTAGTATGTGGTGTTGGAAGTTAGAACAGTAGTTATTCTTATATGTGGAGGGGACAGTGACTGGCAAAGGACATAAAACAATCTTCCTGGATGCTGGTAACATTTTCTTTTTTAATTTGGGTGCTGGATACCTGGTATAGTCACTTTTTGAAAATTAGTCAAGCTATACATTCAAGATTTATGTATGTTTCTGTATGTATGCTATACACCAATAAAATTTTTAAAAAATTCAATTGTTCACCAAATTAATCTGAAGTCTTGTTACCAGAGGCCTCTGTCACAGTGGCTTAATGTCAGGCATTATTCGAACAAGTGCGTTGGCATCTTTCTTTTCCCCTGAGGCAGCAAAGTAGACTTTACACATATAAGCAACAAAATGAGAGATATTTAATAATACAAAAATAGCTAATTCATTGCTTCAGATCAAGGTGCCTTAAATCTGTCATTGTATTACACAATGTAAATGACTCTTTCAAAAATAAAACATGACATACATTTTAAAAATAAAAAGCTTCTATGAAAGTCTTCACTTGGCATTAGGTATTTTCCAAACTTAAGCCATCAGACCAACTAAAAACTTGGTTTTCCTACCGAAAAAGCCCAAGGGAGAAATCATTTGCGGATACTTCAAAAAGTCAGTGGAAAAACAGAATTAAAAGATCACATGAATCTTTCCATCTATGAACTTTTTGAAGTACCCTTGTATCTTTAAAAACTGTAACACCCTACTTTGAAACAGTATTAATTTTAAAGTAACTTTATCCCTCTCAAAAAAAAAAAAAAGATAATGAAGATAAAACTCAAGTCTTTTGCACTTTTTTTTTTTTTGGTGGCTGGCCGGTACCGAGATCGATCCCTTGACCTTAGTGTTACAGAAGAGCCAACTGGCCAGCCCTCACATATATTTTTAAAAAAAAAAACAACTACATTATGAACATTATACTGTACAATGTCGTAATTCTGATCTCCTCTATTAAGGAAAGATTGTCATAACCTTGGTTTAAAAAAAGTGTAAACGCTACACATCCCCGTCTCCACTCACTTCCTTATAAACACAGGCTCATTAAGAACCATTTTAAAAAATCTCATCGGCTACACATTAATACCTTTCTGTTTCAACAATATTAAGAAAAGCACCCCAATCCTTAGCTGCTGTTTCTCCTCAGGCCCTAAAGAAACGCAGTGAAGTAAAAGAAGCCCTTGTGGCCTTAAAAGGACAACCTCCCCAAACCCCTCAAGGGCCGAGGTGCCAGCAACCCGCTCACCTTACTAATGGGGATCCGCCTCCCCTCCGCGATGGTCTTCTTATTATTTAAATAAGCAGGGTAGATACAAATAAACCTGCCACAGAAAAAGCACATCTGGTATCACTACAGCAGTTATTTCCAAAAATACGTTCCTTCAGTTATTATCATCGCTGGTACACCTATACTATTATTTAATAGCTTTTCTTTAAATTACCTCCTTACTTAAAAAGGAAACTTTATTCACTACCTTGGCACGGAAGATACGGTGAAAAAACAACAGCAACAAAACAATGCAGTAACTGTCACGTAGGACCCAGCTGCCTAGCAAAAGCTCGGGAGGGTGGGGCCCGCCCTTCTATAAAAAGTAAGGGGTATTTTTTAAAGAGCCTACATGAGCCTTTCTGAACGTACCGATAATTAAAAGAACACATCTCTCACTATGTGATTGTTACTTAATATCATGTCCTCGTAGCACCCAAAGTCTTTTGCCTCCATACAGTAAGTAAACCCTGAGGTCCCTAAGGGGGGAACTTCGGGCGCCCAGAAGAGCTGGCGTTGCAGGCTTCCCGGAGGGACGAGCGGCCCGGGCAGGCGCGCAGAGCCCGCGGTTCGGACGGGCTCAATCGGCGAGGCCGTTCTCAAGGCTGGAGGGTGGCTTCGCAGCAAGCCCCTTTCTTCCCCAGGACCCACCTGTCCTGGTCAGCAGGGGACCGCGCGGCAGCACAAGCCATCTTGCCGAAGAAGGTCCGCACAGCGCGCCAGCCCAGGACCCTCAGGGAGAAAATCAGCCGGAGCTGGGATCTGAGAAGTCCGAGGCCGCCCGCTCTTCCGGCGGAAGTCCTGCCCACCGAAATGGCTCCGCTTCGCAGCTTCCCGCCGCCTGTTTGTTCCAGCACACGTCGCTCCGCGGCCAGTCCGTAGACTCTGATGTGACGTGTGCCAGCCCTCTCCTCTCGCGAGATGATCCCGAAAGCTGCTGTTTCCATCCCTTCCCAGATCTCGCCCACTAGGGCGCTTTAGGCGAAAAACAGCTAATTTTTTTTTTTTTTTAAAGATGACCGGTAAGGGGATCTTAACCCTTGACTTGGTGTTGTCAGCACCACGCTCACCCAGTGAGCCCACCGGCCATCCCTATATGGGATCCGAACCGGTGGCCTTGGTGTTATCAGCACCACACTCTCCCGAGGGAGCCACGAGCCGGCCCAAACAGCTTAATTTTTTACGCTGCCTCATTTCTAATTTTACACCGAGTTTGGGTGGTGCTAAGCACGCTCTCCCATCGGCGAGGGCTGTGCATCGGGGGAATCTGTGTAGTTTGAAGCCAAATACATGTGAGAACAGGCAAAGAATGCCCTTTGTGTTTAATTTTTATCCGCCTTTGGGCTCTGTATCTTGCTTTCAACCTGGCAAACGCGGATTTTTATAGTGGTGGAACTAGCAGAAATTATTGACACTGTGTTTCAATGTACTGTATAAATGTTAGAAACCTGACTGTACTTTTTAAACATCTGAAGGACACCTTCTATTCTAAAATTCACATTTTTACATGCCTTGAGTTGATTGCGAAGTACTATTTCAGCATTTTCCCGCAATTAAACACAATTTCATACCTATTTTTAATAGTGGCCGTTTATCCCAAACCTACAAAGACATTTTTCTTTTTTTTTTTTTTTTTTTTTTTTTTTTTTTTTTTTTTTTTTTTC